GTCGAGTAGTAAGCTTCTAAGGAAATTCATTATGTACCATATAGATATTCAATTTTGGAAGCACCCTCAGTCTTTATTCCTTTCCCATCATATCAGTGCTTGAAGTGGGCTGTCACTCACTGGTATGCAATACCAGCACTCTTTATTTTTCTCTTGAGATTACTGGCACCTCTCAATATCTGCTGGTCCTGAATAACAAGTAACAACGAGTACCTGCACTTGGTACTGAATAACAAACGGGGTACCAGCACCTGCTTTTCCCCACTTCGAGCACTTCAGTCCCAATCCCCTAATAATATCTGAATATGAACAGTAATCCCTTATTGACGCCTTTCCCGCTGTAGGTTTTGTGCGGGCAAGGGGCGGAGGTGACATCCGTGACGTGAACCTGAATTCTGAGAACTGGGCGGTGGTGAAGGCGGCGCTGGTGACAGGCATGTACCCCAAAATCATACATATGCACCGCGAGAACATCTGCCTGATGGGCTCCAAAGAGAAGAAGGTGCGACTGCACCCCGCATCTGTGCTGAGCCAGCCTCCGTGTCAGAAGGTGAGTGGTGGCACACTGCTGCCCTTCCTGCCTCTCTATCAGCCCTCGCCTTTCAGCTGTTTGGTGCCTCAAAAGGCTGTCCTTCGGTGTGTGTTCACATAAACAGGGCACAGCGTTTGGTGCAGAACCGTCACACAGACAGGCTTGTGTGCTTAAATCGCAGCTTCCTCCTGCTAGCGGTCAGACTGCGGCGCTGCAAGCGCTGCCCACAGACTGGCTCATCTATGACGAGATGACCAGAGCCCATCGGATTGCCAGCATACGGTGCTGCTCTGTGGTCACACCTGTTACAGTCACGATTTTCGGAGGGTGTGCCAAGCTACCCAGCACCGCTCTACAGGAACCCACTGCGAAAAGTACGACTAAACATGTTTACAAGCACAAACACTTTGTACACCTTTGTAGAAACTCTTTTACACTGGTAACTGTTAAAAACTAGTATAGGAATTAGTTATTGCAGCTCTATTGCATTTAGAGTGTTAGGAAAGCCTGTGAAATACGTACACAACATACTTGCTCTTTACCCTTCAAAGGATGGACACATTCTGGAAGGCCCGCTCTCCATCATTTACCATTGTCCATATATGCAGGGTCTGAGTGCTTTACTCTACTACAGATTGTTGTTAACAATAATAGTAACGCTATAACACTGAGTTTGTGTTTGTGCTCAATGACAGGCGACGGAGTCGGGGATAGCAGTGACAGTGAGGTGGAGGATCGGTCCACTAACCACCTGGTCCACATGAAGATTGATGAGTGGTTGAATTTCAAGCTAGAGCGTGAAGTAAGTGTGGGACAAGCTATATTTACCATAAACACCAAAAAAACGGCCGAATCACTGGTATTTACGCTTATTATTATATTTTTTCTTACACCATTAATGCACCAGTCATTTGTTTATTTAATAGGGGTAAAGTTGCATGGATACACTGATGAATCCTGACACCAGAAATGTTATTAAGGTGATGGTTCAACTGCATTGATCTGTCAGAATCTCCTTATCGTTTTTACTTCCGGATTACTGTAAATGCCGAAATTTGCAGCACTGGCATGCAAATTTACAAAATGTGGGATGGCAGGGCAAGGTTTGATAATATTCATAAAGGAGGTGTTACTTCATGATCTTTGGGGGAAACACCCATTTTGTGATGCAGCAGACTTTCTCTAATTGTTCAGATAACACTGGTTTACAAGGCTTTTGTTTGCTTTATAATTCCTGGTGTGCCAGATAGATTTTGTGATGCTGATCACAGAAATAACATCATGTAGACTTTTTAAGGAATAGCCAATTTGTTATAATTATTGCAAAATGTTTAAAACACGGATATTTCACATAACACATCAACAAATATATTTTCAGAGCAACTGAGGGGTGCCTTTTGTGTACTTTTTAATGCTCTGTTTTGTAGCACAGAACACCGTCTCTAATGCAGTGGTCACTAGGGAGACAACAAGTGGCCCACATAACCACATAAAACTAATTACAAATCTGATTACGGTCATCTTCAGCAACCTATGTAGAAGTGTAACTCTCCAGATTATATTTTCTTTAATAAATACTTATTTTCTTTCTTATCTTTCTTTGTATTCCATTAATAGTTTTAGAATTTGCATATTAATAATGTGCAGGTTCCCAAGGTCATATTTGTAACATTTTTTTCAGTGAAGTTGTATTTAGGTCAACAAAATAATTGATAAATTAATTGCTGCATGATAAAATGGCCTATGGATGATCTATACCTGATTTAACTTTCAGACAAATCGTCCTAAAAATTAAGCAGCAAAGGAAGGAAACAGCTGTACATGGCACATGGACTTAACACCATAACTCTTAAAGTGTTTTACAGTTCTTTTCAGATTTTGCAGGTATATTGTAGGGGAGACAAGCTGTAAGTGATCAAATTTTGAGACAGATTACCCCTAAATTAAAGTAGCTGTTGTATATTTGCGAAAAAGGAAACTATTTTACCACTGACTGTGTTGACTGTGCTATATATGCATAGCACGGTGGCCAATCTTCACTGACTGCTTTTTCAGATGGAATATGCAGTGTGAGAAGGTTGAATTAGCAGAACAATAGTACAGCTGTAAAATATTGCAATCCACACAGCACAATGGGAGACATGTCAGGTTCAACCTTCCTTTGCCGACCTAAATAAATCAGAGACCAGAACAAACAAAACAGAATAGAAACGCTGTCCTGCTGTGTTCATGACCAAAATTCTCGTACGGTGTACAGTGCCGACTGGTCGGAGAGTTGGGTGTAAGTCTGGGTGGTCATTAAACAGGTAGGTTAAGTGAGGAGTGTCTGTACATTGTTCAAAATAATGATAAAGCCTTATCTATCTGTCTCAATATTTGCCCTCAGACTGCTAGCCTGCTGTTCCAATTCAGGCAGAAATGGCAGTGTCTGTTCCTGCGGCGGATCCGTTCCCCCTCCAAGCCCTGGTCCCAGGCGGATGAGGCCGCTCTCAGGGCACTGGTGTCAGTCCTGAGTATGGAGGAGCAGGCAGCTGGTCTGCTGCAGCCGGCTGGCATTGGCCAAAGACCCCGGCCCATATGCCCAGAGGAATCACCCCAATCACCCTCCTGGAGGTGCAGCAGCCATATGGGCCCAGCTGAGGCTGAGCTGACGGACGTCTCATCTGTGTCAGAAAGGTGTGAGCTAAACCCAATCCGTCCTCATCC